TCCTGGGAGCTCAAGACTAACAGTCTAACAAGGTGTTTGTGTCTGCTTCCATACGCAGGATTTGTTTTATACCAGAACAACTCACTGGACTACAGTGCTGACAGCCCTATGTGTGTGAAATCATGCCTTATTTAACAGAGAATTCATGAAATTTAGTACATGTTGTTAGTGGCGATTTGACCTCTCTGTGTTCTAATCAGCGAACGACCTTACGAGTACGTTGAACGTCCCTAATATCGATTCTGTAAATAATGAAAGGGACATCACCCCTGTCCCATACTACGCCTCTTGATGATAATATTAATTGAACTATAACGGTTATATGGGACCGGCGCCTGTGGTGTAATGGTCAGACTCCTTGCCGTTACACGCAGAAGCGTGAGATCAATTCTCATTTGGGGAAGTTATGTTAAAGAGTATCCCCGTTTAACTGTTGGGATGTTGTATCCGAACCATTTCTGGTTGGCTTTGATAAACAATATCCAAGTAGCCAGCCTTCTACGCGATCGTGGGTGGGTGGCGGGTGCTCTGATGTGGTTTTCTCCTTCTTTCATTTCTAACATCTATCGTCCTTATCTTTCCTCATTCTAAATTGTGTTTGTTACTCTCTTGTAACACCTCCAATCTGAGGCACTTATATATTATGATCTTATTGTGTTGCAAGTGCCGTACAACTTTACGAAAAAAGCAAACTAGACTTTTACGTGATCTAAATTGTAACGATGCTGGTGTAATGGTAATTTTAATTGTAGGAGTGTTACGCCGCAATTGACACTAGTTAGATCATTTTAAAGGCGAGCTGCTTCGACACTGCTTGTAAAGGCCAACCCAGGTCAAGAAATACAACGTCCAAACACCACTCGAGGAAAAAAACTTCCCATACGTGAATGGAACTCAGGTTTTCTGAATGCGGCTACAAGACGCAAAACCGCTTTATAACCTGCTTGGTCGTCCTGCAAATAAGTTAGATTTTTTTTTTAACTGTCTGTTCTTTTATTTATATTTCCCGGATGAGTTTGCTTTTTTCTTTGCATTTCCAAAAGGTCAAACAAGAGATTTAAAAAAATTACATTTGCAGTCTCTTCGTTGTGTTATTAAGATTTCGGTTTATGTGACTGCAACTTTAAAAATTTGCGATCGTTCATGCATAGACTTACACAAACCAAGTTCACAATTTCCATTTATACAACCATACATTCATGCATCTGTGCATCTATTCATGCATACATACTTTTGAAGTGGTGAGGAAGTGAAAGAGTGAATGAGAGAGAAAGAAAGAGAGAGAGAGAGAGAAAGAGAGAGAGATAGAGAGGGATGCGGGTGAATATTAAAAGATGGAAAGAGATAGAGAGGAAAGTGATGGAGAGT